AAGAAGAAGAAGAAGAAGAAGAAGAAGAAGAAGAAGAAGAAGAAGAAGAAAAGAGTAAAAAATAATAATAATAATAAAAAGGAAAATTGCCGTCGATTACTTATCTGCGCGGAGGTAGCAACGACGATGACGAGGATGGCACGGCGCGGCGGCGAGGACGACGGGCACGGCGATGGAAACGTGGCACGACGACGACGACGATCGCGATGGTGACGATGATGACGTGGCACGACGACGATGATCACGACGATGATAATGTCGTGGCATGGCGACGACCAACGCGACGATGATGCTGATGACGTGGCACGATGGCGATGGTCTCGATGATGACGATGATGACGTGGTGACGACGATCTCGACGATGACTATGATGACGTGGCACGCGATGATGGCAACGATGCAGCCGGGTGGGTCGGGCGGGTTCAAAGCGCTCTGATACCAGTGTGACGGGGCTGAGGCAACGAGGCTGGGAGAGAGAGGGAGAGAGTGAGAGCACACACACACACTCACTCAACTCGACGCAGACTCGACACGACTCGACGGATGCAGACACGAAGTGGCAAAGTCGGTGACACGTACGGTACCAGGGGCATTTCTGCAAAGGCCCCGAGGGCAGAACTGAAAAATGCGGTATTTGAAAGTGGCGCCCAAATTGCAGCATGGCGCTAGTTGTCCAAAATCCTACGGTACCAAAGGAGGGGTTTGGAAAAAGGGTGCCAGGCCGAAAACGGGATGCAGCCGAAACAGCAAAAAGATAGACCAGGGATTGAGCCCTGGCGGAGTCCGTAACAAGTACCCCTTTGAACCCCTTTAAAACCTGTTGATACTAATTTTATAGTAACTTCATACCCCCCAACCTTCCCCCTGGGTGACCAATCACCAAATCATATGATAAGGCCGGAGTCTGACATCTCAGGCAAAGCGCAGTCCAGGCCTGATGTCGTTTTTTGTAGGCCTAAGGGCCCCTGCTACAGAAGTGCCCGCCTTAAGTGAAGGCAAGCCTAACAAATCTCGAGAGGCCCTCTGCTGTCAATTTCGTATTTGGGGTCCAGGCAGTTGTCACGCGCCAGTTGGTTGAGGGAAACACAGGCCGAGCAGCAAAGACATTCCACGGCCTTCCAGGCATTTCTGAAAATGCAGGCCCTGGGCAAGAATCGCAGCCTCGTACGCAGATAGTTGGGACGCCCAACCGAACGAGGCTCAGCAGCTGCAACAGAGGCCCAGCCTCCTGGGGCCTACTGGAAGCTTCTGGGCAGAGGCCCAGGCCAGCCAGGCCGGCGGGGCAGGCAGACACTTTCCATATAGGAAAGAGCTCGCTGCCTGGGATGGCATTCAGGCACTTGCATGCTAGCGGCAGCGCTGCTGGAGCGGACGCTCGTGGGCTGCTGCTGGCGCTAAGGGCAAGGTGCAAGCACGTGTGGTCGTGCAAGAAGCAGCGCGCTGCTGAGGGCAGCGCCATAGCCCAGCCTTCGTAGCTGGCTGGGGCTTGGTCTACAGTGAGGCACAGGGGTGGTCTTCGGGTGTACAGAGGGAAGGCGTGGGTGTAAGTCAGGGGAGAGAGAAGGATGATGATGATGATGATGTGAGGGCACATACCTGGTATTGGCGATGGTCTGCATCGGGCGACATCTTCAAGTACTTTGTTGGCCGCTGACGTCAGCAGTTGCATTGTCAATTAGTAGGCAGACAGTAGCTGTGTAGGAAGTAGGCTGGGCGCCGAGCACCAAGTTGGGAGAAGGGACTGGACTCTTATGTTGGTGGTGGCGAGAGCAAGCTCTCATTGACATTGGTTTTCAGTGTTACGAGTCTCCATTGGTGTTATATTGGTGCAATGTTGTTTTCTGGACGCTGAGATACTATCTGGCTCTCAATGTGATTGTGCATTCTGGATATTGTCATCTCGCTGTTGCTCATTTTCCTTGCACATTCTTCTTTTATGACCTGCCCGCTTTTCCTGGGTGGATCACCCAGGATTCACCCCCCTGCCCGCCTGGTCTGCATGCCCCATCCAGGCTGGTTTTTAGCCTAGATCATCAGGCTATTTATTATATTAGCTGCATTATTTATTACTTCCCGATGCTGTGATTGTTATAGTTCTTGGACAAGCTGGATATGCCATGATGACGCTTTGCAGCACCAGATTCATGCATTTAGATAATGCAAGGTTGCTATGTTGCCTGCAGGTTGGAGTACATGTTGCACGGTTTGGCAAGCTAGCTGGACATCCCAGCAATGCCATGCAAGGCAAGTGCAAGCGGATGAGTCTCGTGCATATGTTGCGTGCAATCGCCGGGAATGGATAACAGATGGCAGTGGTGTTCTTATTTTCTCTTCTTTCTTGCTCCTCCTCGTCCTCCTTTTCTTCTTCTTC